GCTCCAGGCTCGTCCCCGCCGCCTCCTGAGGAGCCCCTTGCGCCGGCCCCGGTCTCGGGCGAGGCCCCAGCGGAGCAGGCCGGGAACGCGTCGGCCGAGGCCCGGTCCGAGGGGGCGGGCGGGGAGGACGGCGGCGCGGACGAGCCTTCCTTCAGCGACCCCGAGGACTTCGTGGACGATGTGAGCGAGGAAGGTGAGGCGGCGCGGGAGGCAGTGGGTCGTCCCCGCGTTCCACTTGTAGTCCCCCGCCTTGGGAAGGGTGTCTAGGAGCGTTTGGGTCTCCTTACGTGTGTTCTCTCCCCAGAATAAAGCGGGCGGGGCGGGGCTGGGGGCCAGGAGACCGGAGACCGCTTGGGAGCCGCTCGTTTGCACTAAAACCTGGATTTTGGAGGGTGGTGATGATGGACAGTGGGCAAGCTGGAGCCGTGGCCGTGTATGGCATCTGGGGCCCAGCAAAGCAGGGCAGTGCACGTGCCGCACTATCTTGGGTGACACTTCCCTCTCTGCAGGTCTGGGTGCCCTGAGTGATGAGCCACACCTGTCAAAGGCCTGAGCCAGACCTCATGGGGACGCTTTTTGGGGTTGATGGGATGCTGTCCGTTAGAACAAGTTGTGACAGAGCTGGGTTCCTCTGCCCCTGCTCCACAGACGCTTCTGCCTTCAGAGAGTCTTAATAGGACTGGAAGGCTGACTTTGCCAGATTCCTGTCTGGTTCTCTCTTTTCTGAGTCTGTAGGCAGACGCTTGTCCTGTTGGCGCATAGTATTTTTAGGGTGTAGTGTCATTCATTGTAGCTTTACTCTTTTTCTTATCTTGATTCAATTTGCAGGTATTTCTGCTTTCTGCCTGAGAGCTTGTCTTCTAAAGTGACTTCTGTAGTGCCTAATCTTATTTGCTTATGTTTTGTTTTTAGCTGTTTGAACTGTCCGAGCTCAGAGCACATCAGTGGATTCCTGTCCGTTATAGTAGAATGGGGAAGAACAGCGAGGAGGTAGCTAAGGGCACGCCAAGAAAATAAGATGTTGTCATGTTAATTTGTTTTGTTTTGTTTCTGAAATCTCGCGTCCCATCACACGGAGATTGAGTCAGAATCAAAGAACCTCCAGTAAAACGAAGACGACGACTTAGGGAACCAACAGCACCGTTTACTTTTAACTTAAACCTAACGTTAAGGAGTTACCTGCTGTTGTCGTTATTCTCATACTTTATTTCTTAAGGGACATTTTAATGTTTATTTACTTTTGGGAGAGAGACAGAGTGTGAGTGGGGGAGGGGCAGAGAGAGAAG